GATGGTAAACAAGAAGCTCCTGTCACATGCACTCTAAGACAGGAGTACGCTTGGGAGCTCTAGCGTACAGTACAGCTGAGGGCTTGAAGTGAAATACAACACTAAGAGCTGAAACAACGTGTGTTTAATTTTCCGCAATGGTTTCCCTTCTGATTCAGAGGGGTGATGGCCCCTAGCACTACAGATGCCTTAGAAAATTCCCGGGGGGCCGCAGACCACACTGCTGCTCCGGCGAGATCCAATGGAAGGTCGCCTTTGTCAGCCTTCCTGGCAGTAGGCTGCCCAGAACTGACACAAATCCCTCAAAGACTTAGGAGATCATTTGGGTTTGCCCTTGCCAGTACTTGGGTGTCATGGTTTAACCCCAGTTGGCAACTAAGCACCACACAGCCGCTCGCTCACCCTCCTGGTGGTGAGCCCCAGTGGGATGGGAGAGAGAATTGCGAAAAAAAGCTAAAACCCATAGGTTTTATAGGACAGCAAAAGAAGAGAGAATAATAATAATAAAAGAATGTACAAAACGAATGATGCATAATGCAGTTGCTCACCACCTGCTGACTGATGCCCAGCCTGTCCCCGAGTAGTGGTCGCTACTTCTCGGACCACACCTCCTAGTTCATATACTGAGCATGACATCATATGGTATGGAATGACTCCGTTCGTCAGTTGGGTCAGCTGTCCTGGCTGTGCTCCCTCCCAGCTTCTTGTGCACCTGGCCAAGCATGGGAAGCTGAAAAGTCCTTATTAAGCACTATTAAGCACTACTTAGCAACAACTAAAACATCAGTGTGTTATCAACATTATTCTCATCCTAAATCCAAAACACAGCACTATACCAGCTACTAGGAAGAAAATGAACGCTATCCCAGCCGAAACCAGGACATTGGGCACAACAAAAATGGTTTTGGTTTATATTATATAGCCGGTCATTTATAGATGTGTTACTTTACTTAGCTAGCAGAGGTAATACCCATGGTTCCTTAATGGTGTTTTAGTAGTTCCATGCAAGACAAGGACTCTGCAAACCAATACAATAAATATCCTGTCCTTCCCTAGACAAACAGATCGTTCTTTCATCACACAACCAATCTGGAGATTAAGTACTCTCCAGTACTTCACTTTCATTTAATATTTAGGCTTCAGATACAGGCATTCCAAAAGAGAAAGTTGTTTCCCCACCACAGAATGTCCCTTTATCCCATAATTTACAAAATCTTAGTGACCAGTATTGAGTACACAAGTCAGGGAAGTATTAAGGGCTATGGAAAAAACTTCCCAAAAGGAACACCTAAGTTATCTTGATTAATCATGGTAACAGACCTGGTTCCTCTAAGTACTCAAATAGTAATAATTTAGTATTTATTTAGTTTTGTTGCCTTATTTTGTCAATCAGATCAGAAATAGATGGCTGATGCTGGGAGAGAACTGGCATAAAAATGAAAAAAGGCAGCACCTCAGAGCTTATAAACAAACAGCCTTTAAAATTGTAAAAGATCTGACACTGAATAAATAATAGACACAGTTGATGGTATCTATAAAGTGCTGTGCAAAAACTAGATTTCATATTTGGCTTGTTACCAAAAGAATGTGTGGCTTGCCAATGACTCAGTATAGGAGAAAACCCTCCACTGTTACTGTGTCAGAGAGTACAGACTTATCAAACAGAAAAGCATGGAGATGTCAATGAAACTGTTAGTGATGAGTCATAAAAAGACAGAAATCTAATAGCCCAAGACTGAAAGTTAGCTAAGACTAAATGAAAGGCATACATCCAAGTACGTCAAGTTCAGATTATCTTTGTAACTCCTAAGAGAATGAATTTCTATCCTACACTAAAATTGAATGAATGCTCGTACCTCTGCTTTCCCTTACCTTGTACACTTGTACACTAATTTGATGCCAAAATTAGCAATTTTAAACTACAAAGGTAGTTCTTCATAGGGTTTTATGTTTTAAAATTTTATTCTCCAGGTTATACAACAAATTTCAACAATTTTTTTTTTCAGTATTTACAAACTGGCTTCTTACTCTTCCTGCAAGAAGTAACTCATTGGAAAAATAAGCGATTACCAAGGTATCCTCCCTCTGCCCAGTACGGGAGAATGAGCTGGGAGGAGGAAAAGAAGGGGAAAATAGTCTTTTGCACAATAAACTTCTTTTTTCAACATTGAATAACATGGTGCTTACTAAAAATTACTAGAGTAACATTGAATAACATGGTGCTAACATGGTGCTTACTAAAAATTACTAGAGGATTTCTTTGCTATGTTTTCCAAAACATTAATTAGCAAGGAGGTTTTAAACCTAGGAGTTGCCATGTGTCATAGTGTATAATCAGCATTTTCTAAAATGCAGTTAGTGCAAACCAAGCCAGAAGTGGTAGTATCTCGCTTAGTTCTACGCAAGCTAGATTTCTATGTTACGTTATTTTTCATGCCTGCGTATAAACTTTTTGAATACAAGTGAGAAGGTTCACCTTATTGTCACTCCGGAGATTAAAAAATCGCATAGTACTGTGCAGAATCAACATGACTGAGGAAGGTGCGGTCCTCGAGGATAGTTTTACATTAATGAATTATTGTCACCATTTTAAACACGGATAGAATTGAGTCTGGATAGCACATACAAAGCAAGGACATTCAAAACCTCCCCGTTTATGACTGCCCTTCATTTAACTTCTATGTTGCAGACACTTTCCACTCAGTATTTAACATTTTGTTTATCACAGTTTATCTAATACAGATCAAAAGCTATTCTCAGAAAATATTTACTAGATCTCAAAGAAATAGACCTTACTGAGATTGTCCTGGATTAGTTCTCTGACCCTTTCATTACTTTTTTTTTTTTTCTTTTTTTGTTTTGGTTTTGGTCATGATTAAGGGTAAAAGTCTCTAACTGAACTATAATTATTTTTTTTTAAATTTTAGCCTGGAAGAGTTGTGACTCTGGTTGAAGATCCTGAGGTATGGTACTCCTGTTCTGTCTCTGTAGCGTACAGAATATCCTGTTGCATTCCCAGCCTGTGTACTAAGTCTCTACTAATTTTTGCTTCTCTACAAGCAAATAACTGAGTTATCTTTAGTGCAATGAAAGGTCCTCTCAAAATTTCTTGGAGTTACACCAATGACTCTTGATTGTTTCAAATAAATCAATCAATCTAAACTAAGAAACTGGAAGTAGTTGGGTCTGTTATTACCAAAGGTATATTTTAAAGTATTTTCCAGAATAGTCACTTCAGGTATCCGGTTCTAAGATGCAGAATTTTACTTTCAGCATATGTATAGTGCTGACAATATGGCAATAATAGACCCCAGATGTTGTGTCAGAATGGTAATCTTGCCCTCCCAAAATAAAAACTGAAACAAGTCAAGATTACACTGCAGTCACAAAAAAGAAGATACCCTTGCCTTATTTTTTGCTACACAGATAAAATGCTTAAGGAATGAAATGCCACAACTGTGCTTTTGGTTTCTACGTAATATTGTGAAATTAGCTCCTGTTTAGAGAAAACAGCTGTTGGCCCGAGTCTACCATTCTTGCTTATCTTCCGACCTTTTCCCCAAGTCTCACTGAGACAGTGCAATGGAAGTGTTTGCAAGGGCAGTGGAGGGGAGGGAGGGGAGATGGAACAAGGCGTAGGCTTACAGTCATGTAAGCTGTAGGAAAATCAAGATTTTTCTGCTTATAGAAGTACTTAGGCTTACATTTTACCCATTTCTAATTCTGTTTGGTAGGAAAGAAGCTATCTTACAACTACCTGCGATTTTTTTTAGGGATCTTACCCACTAGAGAGCTCTTGGTCGGAGTGCTCACCAGCTATGACAAAAGCATTGAGCTAGGCTGGAGAAGCGCAGGGGAGGCTATTGCAGGATACACCTCGGATGTGATTGCTTTCCCACTCCCTCCTGATCCTCCGGGCCCCTCACATCCAGCAGTGCGCTCTATTCTGGCACCTTGCTGGGGACGGCCGCGATGGTCGTGTCCATCCAGCTTCACACTGCTCCAGGAGAGGGCATCCCCGCAGGTACTAGTGCCTACAGAGGGGCGGGAGGGAAGAAAGGATGGCACGGAAGCAGAGGGAGAGCAAGGCCATGCGACACAAGGCCGTAAGACACAGAGGATGGGTATTTTGGTAGTAGTTAGTTTTTATTTACAGTTGCTTATCTATACAATTATGATATTGCTGTCTTACCGATCTATTTCCCTGAAATAGCAGCCACAAAAAGAGGTAAGTTTAGCAGTAATCGAAAACTTCAACTGTTTTTTGCAGTTAGCAAAACCAGCAAAACGCAATACACTGTCTCTCATTGTGATTTTCTGTACGTTTCTAGCAGGGTTTTTTCTCACATTACTGTACTGCTGGATACCATTATGTTACACAGATGCCTATATAGACAAAGAATGCTTATGTTTGTTGTCACTCAGTTTGTATTGTTAAGCAAACTTATTCGTTACCATAGAAACTTTTTTCCCCCCTTAGCAAACCAGTTTTGTTTGGTTGGGTGTTTTCCCTTTTCTCCAGAGTCTGGTGTGGCCAGATAATCACACTTTACACATAAACATCAAATTATATGACAAGTCATTTGCTTTAATTTCAGTTACTCATTCTGCAGTTTAAAAAGGTAACCTTATTTCGAAGATACCTTAGCAGATTACACAATTATTCCCCTGCACGCAGACACCAAATACTGTGGTGACAACAGCAGTGGTACTTTTACTGGCAGTGCCAGCTCTCAGCTCTGTGCTAGCCTGCGTGTCCTTTTTCACTAGTGATACACACAGTGCAGCTTGGAAACATCTAGTTTAGAGAGTTATTTTAACTTGCTCCATTTGAATTTCTTTGCCAGTTAAGAGGAAACCACACAGAAGAAGAACATCATACTCCTTGTCAGATTTCTGGATTATAATTTTCCATCATCTGAAATAGGAATCCTCTATACTGAAAACTAAATGAATTAAAGCAGTAACTCTTAAAGTGTCTGCTTTAAATCCCTCTCTCCACCACACCCATATATATTTTCCTATCAACACCAAAGTAGGTCTGAATGGCAGATTTAACGCAATAGAGTAACATGCACAGAAGAGGCTGTTTTTAACACACGTTTCCTGCAGACAGCTGGAGTGAACCCGCATCCCAGAGGGCTGAGGGAAAGCAAGGAACCCATTTTTGTACTCATTAGTGCTGTTCCTGGCCACAGCACATCAAATGCTGTAATCACCTACAAAGGATGCAGTAGAAAATTACTCCTGATTGTTTCAGTAAAATGTCTTTGACTAACATATAGTCTGACTGCAAAATTCAACGCTCCTGAATTAACACCACCACGCCAGCATTGTCTGCTATCATGACTAAATACTAAGATCCAGTTTTAGGGGGAAAAAACCAAAACATTAATTACTTTGTCATCATTACTGTAGCACTGATACATATACCTACTTAGCTGCAGGAAGAATCGACATTTGATGTTGCCAGCAGACAAAACAGACTACCATTTATTTTAAAATAGCATTTGTCAGAAACAACATGTAGCCCTTAGTGAATAACAGACCATCATAATTTTTCTATGCTACTTCAAAAAAACCCATGCAAATCAATCCCTCTCACTGGTTTGCTTATATAAAATTTGGTAAGGGAGTATAACTAATTCACACCACAGTTAAATACTTCTTCAGAGATGTTATCTGTGAAGAGAATGAAGAAATATTCAGGTTCTCAAAGACGGTTATGAAATTTATCCTAACAGTGTTTGCTGAGGCGCTGGATATGCCATGTTTATTTGTGCAAAATGAAGGTTCATCTCTCAGCTTTTCCTCCTCTGATGCAGTTTCAGTGTGGTAATGTTACCACACTCATCCCTCCAAGTACATGTAACAGGTGTGACACCCAGGTCCTTAGAAATGAAACTGCAACTAAACAGAGAAAGGACCTGACCAAAATTAGTTTGAATTTGGCACTATTTAAAATGTTAATTTTCAGATACAGATTTTGTGAGGTCAGGAAGATACTTTGTATCCTTTTTGCCAGCTCCTTAATAGCCCATGCCAAGGCTATTTACTACTTCAAACTCAATTGCAACAAGAAATTGTTTCATAAGAAAGGCATCAGCGTTGGCAAGAAAGTGGATGATCAGTCTGCATAATTACCATTTTGACTGAAGATTTCCCAAAGAAAACAACCCTTTTAATTTGGGACTCCTTCTACAAACAGTGCGAGAAATACATATAAAAAGACTGAAAATTGAAGAAAATTTTTTTAGGAGAATTTTGCCTAAATACAATAGAAATACATTAATTTGTGAGTATCTTTATGAACACTGCTTGGATTTTCTTTTCTTATGTCCTTCAACAGGGGTGTGTATGGGGTGTTGCTTACAGATTGCCAGCTGGACAAGAATGTGAAGTAAAGGCGTACCTGGACTTCAGAGAGAAAGGAGGCTACAGGACTACAACTGTCATTTTCTATCCAAAAGACTCATCAGTAAAACCGTTTGATGTATTGTTATACATTGGAACTTGTGACAACCCTAACTACCTTGGTCCAGCACCTCTAGAAGAAATCGCTGAACAGATTTTTAATGCAGTTGGTCCTAGTGGAAGAAACACAGAATACCTGTTTGAACTTGCCAATTCTATCAGAAATCTCGTACCAGAAGATGTAGATGAGCATCTCTTCTCCTTAGAGAAACTAGTAAAGGAACTCTTGGAAAAGCATCAAAACCTAAATTGTCTATAAAATAACTTCTTTTAATGATCTTGCTTCATCTTCAGAGGAATGGTTTCATTGCACAATGGGTATATGACTTGGAGGCACGTTTCTCTGTACTATGCTATCTTATTTATTTTAGTATTGCATTCAGAATAGTAGTTGGTCATTAAAACATACTGCTACAAAAATCATTCTTTCAGAGGTCTATAGAAAGGGGAGCAGGGCAAACATTTTAGGTTTGAATTTGGTATATTGGGTTTTTATCCAAAGACTACATCTTTATGACAATCTCAAGAGAACCACTTAAGCTTCTCTTTGTTTGAAGATTTATTTTTTGTATTATTTCAGGTTTAAAATAAATCTTTAGAATATTTTTAAGATCAAAATCTGCATTCAGATATAACTCCCATTGATTTAAGTGATAGTTCATTCTGATTCAAGACCACAGGCGTGGAGCTCAGTGCAGCTAAAGACATAAATGTTAAGTAGTTGCTGTAAATTGCATAGTAAATGCAGAGTAGAACATTTATATCATCAAAGTTCAACTTCACTGAAATTAAGTTATTCCACTGAACTAGTCATCGTACCCTTTATATATTAGTTTGTCCTAAACGCAGAGGATAAACCATTTCATTGTCAAGGAAATAATTCTTTACCTTGGCTCATTATGTCAAGCCCCTGAAAAGAAGAGCACAGGGTACTTTGACACAAACAAGCCATTAACATATCAGTGCCTCATTTTATTTTTTAAGATTAATGTAAAGAATAAAGCCAAAATGTTAAAATTAACTAAGAGTATGACTTGAAGTCACAATGCAGCAAGAATGTTCAGAAACTCTCATCTTTGTTATTTGCCTTTAGATGCCATTGTAACCGCATCTCTTAAAAAATTCACCAATCTCTGAGGATAGATTTTAAGCCGGTAATTTTCAACTGCTGTTTCAGGGATTCACAGACAAAACGTAATTAAGAAAGGAACCCTCTTTTCAGTAATCTCACGTGTGTTGTATGGACATACAAAGAAAGAGGGTTGGAAAGCCACCAGTATAGGCTAGTGGGCTTACTTTATGCAAAACGTAAGCAAATGGATTTTCCGTCCCAGCAAGAACTTGTCTTGCTTCTCAAAAATTTAAGTTATTTTTGTTAACTTTTAACAAAATATATTTTTGTATGTTAATATAGGAAAGGTCCTATTTCAAACACCATGTAATGTCACATTTTCTCATACAGAGAACGTATAAGTGTTCAGTAGTAGCTTGGAAGCCTGTATTTTGTGTCAGTAATTGCAAACCCCATATCTTTCTACTATACAGGTTGTCCCTTTCTCCTCTTTATATTTTCCTGTTTTATACTTCTAATTGCTTGAAAATACAAGGGTCATCAAAATAACAAGCTGCTGTTATTTTACTTGGCCACCCACAAAAGCCAACAAGAACGTAAATGAATGTTAATAGGAAACGTTTGAGAAAGGCAGCTAGATGAGTAGAAAACAGGATATTAAAATTCAAACCTAAATTCGAGATAATTAGACCACTTAAAATATTTAACCAAAAAAGTATTTTTTACATACCAGATTATAATTTTAGTGTGCCTCTGGCATCTCTCAAGCATTGATTCATTGAGGGGAAAAAAAAAGTGTATTGGTTTTTAGAAGCTATTGTTTACTGTTAATAGTTGAATGCCACTATTTTAAGAGTACATGATGGGGTATCACTTGATGGACTACTCTAAACTGCAGAAGCAAATCCTCTGATCATATTAGCAAAATAATCATATGTAGTAAGGCCCCATTTTTCCATTAGCACACAAGTTACTTGCGAAATGATAGACTATCCTTTAAAGGTCTTGATTCTCCACTGCACTGTGCTGGTTTAAGATTGACATAACTTGGCGGAAAAGCAACTAATTCAGCTGCACAGTGGGAGAGGAGTATGAACTTCCAGGTGTCTGTACGTAATGACGGTCATTAAGATGTCCAAAGCGGGAGCTGAATGACTTCACACACCAAAGAGGGAGAGTGATAACCATCACCCAAATCTACATTAATGAACATGCTCCATTACGCATGCATTTATTCACCCTGACTTAAAGAGTAACTCTTAAGTGTTACTAAAAATGTAATGTATGATTTATTTCAAGAATATTTAAGTTTTGAAAAGAATAGTACCCTCAAAAAAACCCAGCCAACAACAGCACTTCCTTTCTTGTGCTTACTTCAGATTTAAGCAAGCTGCAGTAAAGTTAAAAATGTACAATGGCATGTCCACTCCACGTGTTTTTTAAAATTCTGTCCTCAAAGACTTATTCTTGTTCCTTAAAACAGGGCAGGGGATGCTTACACACAGTAATGATCCAAAAACATCAGTGATGATTCCCTCTTTAAAACTCTAATTAACTGTGTTGGGGCATTGTGATTTATGTATGGCTCTACATTTTGTATCTTTTAATTATATTCAGGACATTGTTGGTTCATTTACTTTCCAGATTCATAAAGCTTGCAATAAAGCTTGCAATAATATTGCAATAATATCTGTAACTGTACATTCCAGTTTGTGCGTACAACTTCAGTACAATAAAAATGCATCACATTTACTAATGGTGTTGGAGAAAGAAATTGCCAGAAATATTGTTTATTTGAAGTGTATCCATATTAGGATGAACATCAATGTGTGTCTTAATTGCATCTTGTTATAAAATGCTGTTAGATCTAATGATGAAAAACAGTATACAAGAGCTAGCTACTATTATGCAGTCTTAAACTGTGTCGAAATTAGGAATTAATTAAAGCACTGGAAATATAAATTTGTTCTTTGAGCCACGACTCTTCCTACAGCTTCAACCACCAACAAAAGCCCAGGATGCTTTCAGATCTGTTACTCACCACAAAAAAATTAACATACACTTTTTATATGCTTTTTTTTTCCCCCCTCCTGGTTAGAACTAAATCTAAGTTTGTGACAAATTATAGGGATTTTAGATACGGTTTCATTATACAGCCACACACACGAAGCTACCTCTAATCTTGTTTCCAAACAGTGTTTGACAAAACAATAGTCATATCTATGTTGTCAGATTTTACTCCCTGGGATCCACAGACTCAAATCACCGAGCAGTCAGCGTGGACCTCTGTCCTTCTGTGCATGGAGGAAGCAGTACATAGTAGTATGCAGCGATGGTCTTCCCTATGACGCTGAAAGGGATTACCATTGAGCAGTACATAAGCTGATATATCTGTAAACTATTTTGGAATCTCCCAAATAAAAATCCTATATTAATTTAAGTTACAGGAAAAAAATGTAAGGTTTGTACAAGACTGCAATAAGACAGTTTAATTTGATTCTGCTATAATGTGAATTCAAATAAAAAAGCAGATACTAAAAAGTAGCTTGTGTAATATCTGATATTCCTTAGTATGATCAATTAACCATTTGATAGCAACAGTCATTAAACATGCAATCATCTTCTGTGAAATTATGAATCTATAACCTGAATATGCAACATTTTACTTAATTTTTTTGTCTAGCTTTTGATAATAAGCACAATTCATACCCATTTTGACTGCCACTGACAAAATTAGTACGTCATCTGACTTAATCATAAAACTTCTGTAAATGGATTTGCATTTCTTAACACAAGAAAACTCATGGACAAGAGCAATCAGAACATTCTGTAATTACCAGATTCTTTGTAGCATCCCCAATAACGATTTCTGTCTTTCCTTCTTCAACCATTTCTCTGCTCCGTATTTCCCACGGACGAGCAAACAACAAAGATCTGGTGGGACTGGCCTAACCTGCTCTAATTTGGAAACTGTGCTGGGCATTCAAGTATTCGGGTATATGTGCGGGGGGGGG